GGGGCTGTGGGCTTTTGGCTTACCACAGTGAAGGCCAGCTAGGGTTTGACCTTAGCCCCACCACTGTCTTGGCCGGAGCCTGAACCATTTTGAGCCAGTGCGGGTGCTTTATATCAACACAGCCACAGCTTGCCACCGCCGCCTTGTGCAGGGATTAAACCCTTGCAGCCCCACCGGCAGGGATCGGGGCTCATCTGTATTGTTATTTTTGTTTCCCTCTCTACTCTCTAGCCCCCCGCAGTCAAAGCAGACTTGGTTTTAATTTTTTTTTCTCCTCTTTGTCTCTTCCCTGTTCTCTCACACGCCACTGCCAGCCTCCAGACCACTCCCCTTAGCCTAGGGCACTTACGACTGCCCCTCAACCAGTTAGGTGAGGTCCACTCTGTGTAGCATAGCCCGAGGCTGGTGAAAGCCCTGCTGACCTCCACCAGGGGATACTCCACCCAACGTCTTACCAGGTAATTCCTGCCTCCGTGGCTGGGGGAGCTCCTATATTTCCTCTGTTGTCCCATGTGACTGAGGGAGCTTCCTCCCACCGACCTTAGTGCCTCACACGACCTAAGGCAACTCTGCCAACACTTGCCACAATTCCAAGCTGCTGCAGGAACCTATGCCCGACCTCTGCAGTGATCTACCTGGCCAGGGAAATTCTGCCCACCATTCGCAGTGTTCTACACCAAATCAGCCAACCCACCAGACTTTTGGGGCACTTCCCTGAGAGGGAAGCCACAGGAGGATAAAGTGGTAGGATAATTCCATAGTGAAATTAACTGTAGGCAGTTCAAAGAAGCATTCCTACAAGTCTCCCAGAGAGAGCCAGTGCTCTTTGACTCCATGGAAAATGGCACCTGGCTCCTCTAAAACAATGCAATGGAAACAGGCATCAGCCCCAACAACCTCAAAGAAAAAACAGAAGAAAAAAAAAGGCACTGGCAAGGGATGCCCTGAACCTATCGATGTGCATAGAAGAAGCAGACATTGATCTGCCACAGAGGGAAATTTTCAAAATGCTGCTGGGAGTCATACAAGATATGAAGGAAACAATACAGAAAAAGGATGAAATGATGGAGGAGATAAAGACCATACACCAAAGGGAAATACAAGAGCTTAGGGAGGAGATAACAAAAGCCAGGAGCAGACTCATGGACCTCAAGAATCAACTGGAGCAAGCAGAGAACCACACCAGTGACTTAGAGACAGCCAAGCAGACTTTAACAAACCTGAGCAAAAATCTAGTAAGATATCAGAGAAGCTGAAGAAAACCTAAGACTTATGTCTGATGCTATGAAGAGAAACATTAGAATTATTGGATTACCGGAGGAAGACACAAAAAAGACGTCTTCTGCAACAATAGTGAGAGAATTCTTGGAGGAAAACTTCCCCAGCTTAATGAATGAAAACCAGGCAA